TTGATTGGTACACCAGGCATTTCAATGGCTATCCATGTGATAGGCATCTCAATTTTATTGGAGGGTCTGGATTAGCAGCTTCTTCTGTCCTACAAAAAAAGCTTCACTAATCAAAGAATATTTACATGGCCCCCCTTTGATAGTTGGGACCTCGAGGGTGACCTTATTTGTCTTGAGGCCGCCTCCCCTAATCTGATGTCTAGAGGGTTTGCTCCAAATTACTTATGGCTCACAAGTAGCAAACCCATGACTGCAATAGGTTACCTCTGACTGTGACGATCTCCTTGTCTCCAAAAAATTTGATCGCAATATGATAAGTAGAGGCCATTGCCTTGAAATTGTTTAGGAGCGGCCGAGCGAATATAGCATTATACATCGAAGGGGAGTATACCATGAGGAAGTACTTCATTAACATGAATTGTTTCTCGTTTTCCCCCCAACTTACTTGGAGCTTGATCACTCCGAGCACTTCCTTCCTTTCATCTGAGAAGCCTTATAGTGGCCTAGCTGGTGCAGTTACCAGTTGGCAGAGAGGTTTAGCTTGTCAAACACCTGTTTGAATAGTATATTCAATGAGCTTCTTGTATCAATAAGAATGCTAAATGCTTGATAATTATTAAATACAGTCATCATTACAATAATGTCATTGTGGGGATTTCTTTTCGGTGATAGATCTTTTTCAGTGAAATATATAGGTGTGTAGTTTTGTGGTTTTGGGGAGAAGATTGTGACATAGAGTTTCCTAATTTGTTATCTCTTTAGGTTTGCTTGCCTAGGAAATTTGGTCCTATTGAATATATGGGCTCAAATCTTGTAAATGGATAGTGTTGGCACAAATTGGTTCGTCAGATGCTTCCCCCATTAGAGCTTTGTCCTGCCTCTAGGTCTAGGGCCCTGAGGCAATAAATTCTTTCAACTTCCCTTCCTTTATGAGCTCTTCAATCATACTCCAGAGGTGTCTGCACACTTCAATGTCATGTTCATGATCTTTATGGTACTTACAGTATTTCCTGCTGTCCCAGAGAAGGGGCCTCGTCCTCATTTGTGGAGCCTTCCTAGAGTAATCTTTGTTATGGATGGTGCCTACTATCTCTGCCATATACACCCTTAGATGGGTGGCTCAAGGGTCTTCTTGCTCATATTTGTGTTGCTTGAGGTATTGCATCAACAATTGATTTTGGGCTTTTCCCCGTCCTTGATCATCTCGGTGATCAGTTGAGCCATTGTGGGGATGATTGTCATAGCACAGGCGGATGAGCAATCACACGCTCTCTTTAGATTTCTAACCATTGTTCTTTGATGGTGTTTTTTGGTGTCTCTGTTCTGAGTGATGGGGAGCATTTTCATATGCATTGATATACTTATTGGCCATCTCCATTAATTCAGCCAAACCCTGGGGTTCTATAAAGTCAAGGTCGAAGCAGAACCTCTCCAACCTCACCCTAGTGTCCGTGTGCCCTAGGCCATTTTAGGCTTCAAGTATTTCACATCCAGTGTTTCTCTCTCAAAACTGCAATAAAGGAGCACAATATTTTGTTGGTTACCTATTTTAGTTGCCATAAAGATCGGGCACTCTTCTTTGGGCCTCATAGCATCGATAAACTGTGACAGAAAGAGCCTCCTGAACTAAGAGAGGCAGATATTTATCCCTACAGGAAATCCGTTGAACCATCTGAGAGCAAACAATCTCAATGTTTTCATTTAAAAGAGTCTGAGATCTTCAATAGATACATGGAAGATTCAAACGATGTGAGATGTTCGTTGGAGTCTGATCGTCCCTTGTATGACTGCATAGCAGTTTGAATTTCTTTAGGGTTTCAACTCCCTAGACATCTAGGGAGAAACCATTCTTCGATTGTAGCAATGCTTCAGTTGGCTCAAGTCAGTGCCTTTCCTCCACAAGGGCAGGCCCGGCGTTGTCCTGGTCCAACACCTCTTCACTCCTCTTCTGCGGATGATTTTTCCTCCTTCTGTCATTCGTCAACAATTCCCCTTAGGAGTGTTGTGCAGTTCATGTTGAGCCCACTCTCTTCCTGGAACTGTGGCAGCTCCCAGGATTGTAGTTTCTCTAAGCACTTATGTGAATTGTATGTTTAGTGATCTAAGTTCTCAGGTCCTATAGTCCTTGCTGAACAAATTCTTCAATAAACTCTATGGTACAAACTGCTCCACTATGTTTCTTTGGCTGATTTCCCCCTCTCCTGTCGTTGTTGTTGTACTACTATTATTGTTGACGTCATGGTTTCACACTCATCGCACTTAAAAGGATGTTGAATCTGAGGGTATTCAGGAAACACACACAAGGAATAGATCGTACAAGGAAGAGGAAGAAAAAATAGATATGAACAGTAAGGAGTGTGTAACCTTTATATTATGAGGACTGCCCATTTATAATTATATGGTTATGATCCCATAAATATACAGATCTGCTTCCTCATCATTAATTTTTTGGGACCTTCTAGTAAATTACAAAAGTATGACAAACTAATGAAAAGCTTGCCAATCGTTTGGCCTACGTTTGCTTCATCAATCCCAGAACCATGGTCGAGTTATTTAACAAATGGTTCATAGAAAGTCGATCTCTTTTTGAGTTTTTTTTTTACATTCGAAGATAGGTGCCTGTCTTTAGAATCAAAGATCTTTCTGACAGCCGTTCGAGGTATTTGTCGGTCGTCTGACATCTTTTCACACTGGTAGTTATGGAAGAACAGTTATTTAATTGGTTGTCCCTTCCTTTTGAGCTATTTGATTTTTTTGAAATTTGTGTCAATGTATTTTTTGTATACAAAAGAAAAGGTAGCTACTAATCCAAGTCTCAAAACCATAAGAATATATAGTTACATATAAATGCGTTAGCATAAGGCCATTATTATTTTATTTTATGAGATTTTTTTAACCTATAACTCGATCCTTTAGAGCAACCAGTCTGAAAATGGTATATGATAATTTAACTGATACAATAATTTATACATTTCAAATTTTATTATTTGACTCTTGATTTGATTCAAGGTTGAGAGTGCAAATGAGTGCATGATATGCGTGCATATTGACCTCATTTTTGGTAAGGGAAATTCAAAAAACTCTAACCCTCTATTATAGATATAGAATGACGTTTTAGTATCTCCTATACTGTTTCCTTGGCATTAGTGAGTGACCAATCCTACTCATTATTTTAAGCTTTATATGAGCTTCGATTGAGCTGCAACTATCTAATATTTTAAATAGTTCAATAAGAAGTTTATATTAGGGGCCAAAGGGATCCAAATTTTATCAAAACTCAAATAGGTTCAGTACATAGGTGCCCCATTGGATTCCTAAACTTAGTCAACCATAAATCAATACGAATGCCCGATAACTACTAGTGGCTTTAGGATCATGTCTAGATTCTTGTTTGAACTTTGGGAGGCCAGTCTTGTGGGGCCCATAAAGTCAACTATCTCCAAATTCAAAACTTTTGAATCATAATGGGTACCAACTTAGAAATCACCAGGGATCAAATCCAACTTAAAAAGAGGCTATTAAGCCCTTAGTCAACATAGTTTGACCAAGTGACCAAATAAGGACCCACACAATCCCAAAGCTAATTTAATCAATTCAAATTCAATTCCTCGAACTCAAAATGAAATTAAAGATATTATGAGGAAGTCGAGGCCCACTAATATCTTCAATTCCTCGAGGCCCACTAACGAGAAAATAAGTAAATTTTAAATAACAACCAATTGAAGAATATAATAAATTTATATCTTTTTATGAGCTTTATCTATAATTATGGCTATATAAAGATTTAAATATCCATAGCCTAGTGATAAAAAATTTAATCACAATCTAGCTTAATTTTATTTGATCACTACCATTTTCACTTTTTCTCACTAGTAAAATTTCCCTATTGATTATTAGGGTTATAATTGAGTCGAGTCGAGTTGAGTATGTCATGGATTGGACTTTACTATATTATATTATAAATTGTTAATGTTCAAACTAAGTTAGAGCCGAGCATTTCACATATATGTTGATAATAGGCTTGTCTAAATTTTATAATATATAATTATATTTGAATTGTACTTGTTTATATTAAACGAATTAATTTTTCAATGAGTCCATAAAAGGGCAAAAAATTTGAAGGAGTGCCAATCTTTTCTTGTAAAGTTATTAAAAAATAATTTACAAATATAAATAAATAAATAAATGAGTAAAATATGCATTAGTGTTTAACCATGTTACACTTTATTCAAGTTGTAAGCACTCTTCTTGCACTAAACTAACATAAACAATTACTAATAAAATATTTCATTGAAATAAAGAAATAAGAAGAAATTTTATTTACTTAACATGTGAATTCACAAAAGATAAATAAATCATTAAAAAAAAATTAATATTGGGATAAGGAACATTTCATGCAAAGAAAGGGAAAATAATAAATTCTTAGGAAATAATAACACCAATTAAATTAAGCTTATATGATATTATATAATTAGTATCAATTGGACAATTGATTAATACATATTCTAAAAAGTTTGATGGATTGAATTTAATGGACAATGGTGTATTAATAAAAAAATACATTAATTAATAAATAGATATTATTAAAATAAACATAGAAGTAATAATTAGTACTCTTGAACTATTATTGATCCTAAAATATAATTTATAATTATTATATATATAATTTAATAAATTTTATAATTTTTTTAGATAATATGAAATGATATAAACTACCAATGCATGAAATGATATGTATTTAACTTCAAAAAAATATAACTATAATAATATTTTGGATATAAAAATAAAAATTTGAGCATAAATATTGGTGTTATCTATTTAATTATACATAAAAAAATGTGATTTGTGCAATATTAGAAATAGTTAAATTTATACTTAATGTACTTGAAGAGACAAACATGCACATATTATTTCATTCAACGAAGCTAAACATGCGAAAGTCCATTAACACCCACAATCAACTAACCAAACCCGGGATAAAAATGCATGCAACCGCACGTCTACTTGTAATGCGCGTATGTGTCCAAGTTGTTCCCCGGCTCTAGCAAAGAAGCCGTCTCCGGATCACCATAGGCTCCCAAATAAGCCCCTCCCAGTCCCTCGCAGGGCACAGCACCGTAGGTTCCAGGCTGATGCTGAAAATGGTGGGGCCCTGACGTCGACGGAAGATGATACGACACAACCGCCGCGCGCTTGAGCTGGAGCGGCTCACCTCGGATGGAGCCGCGATGGTCGCCCTCCAGCTCACGGTATCGGTGGAGATAAACACTGAGCGGATCAATGTAGTCGTCAAAACCGAGCTTGCTCATGGCCCACAGCACGTCTTCGGCGGTGATGGTCTTGCGCTGCTCGCGCTGACATCTCTCATTGGCCTCGCTGGTGATGAAGCTTATGTACTCCGAGACGCACTCCTGAATGGTTTCTTTGGCGTCGTCCGAGATCTTGGCGTGCGTTGGGAGCACCTTGCGCATGATCCGTATCACGTTCGCGATCGGCATGAAGCGGTCTTGCTCGCGCACCGCCAATTGGGTGCTGCCGGAAGTTTTGCTGGCGCAAGGCTTCATGGGGATTTGGCAGGTTGGGCGGGTTGTGTGGCTGGGGTTGGTGGCGTCGATATGGAGGAGGGAATTGGGTTTCTAGAAGGTTAAATAAATTGGCGGGCGTTGGGAAGGGAAGGGGAAGGGCTTTCTAGGCGTTGGGAAGGGAAATGACGTTTAATTATATCAGACATGAAGAGTTTTGTATTTCTTTCCCGGTGCCCATCGGTAGTTTGCGGGTAGGGCTTTCGTGAATAGCTCGTGTTCAGCTTGTTGTTCAAGGAAATGAGTTGGAAATGAGCCGAACACAAATAAACTTTGAAAGCTCGAATTATAAATAAGCCCTTGTGAGCTGTTCATGTTCTACTCGTTTTAACTCGAAAAAAAAAAGTTATATTATTATTTATATAATAGTATATTACATATATTATTTATATAATAATATATTATATATAATAATATATAAGTTTTATTTGTAATAACTCATGTGGTAATGTGATTATGTGATTTTTTTTTTACATATATTTAGCTCATGTTAGCGTTAATGGCCATCAGTAACGACCCTTGGACTTCTTTGTCGTTTATATATTTATGCGATTGTGGGATTCATGCAGCTGCATTTTAGGAGGTGATGTTAAGGAAAAAATATTTGGGGCGAAAAAAAAAAACAAGAAAAGAAAAGATCTCCGTTGATTTGGAGCCTACAAGGAAATTGATAATTTTTCCTTAGTTCATATAATAAAGTTATTTTGGGTATGCATTGCATCTTTTTTACCAATAAATATTTTATTTTTGCGATAGTAAAGTGGAATTAAAAGTGCCAAGCTGGTGATTAAGTTAAGTGAAATGAACAAAATCTATTTTTTAAAGCCAAATACATCGAGCCATCAATTAATGGAGGGGACTCAATAAACTTAGGGTTTGTTTGGGGCAGCTTGTTCGGTTCAGGATAAACAGTTTATCCTGAAATGCAGCCCGAGAGTCGACCGCGGGATTCGACCTGCGACCTGCATTTAGTGTAAAAAACTCAAACGCGACAAACAACGTTTTCAAAAACACGCAAGCCAAACGATTATGTGGCGTTTTCACAAACACTGTCGCACTTAATTGCTACCCCAAATTAGCCCTTAGTTGAAGTCGTCTTCTACCTTGAAGACAACAACGCTTATAAAATTTGAAAATTTCATTAATCATAAAGCAGAAGCCGAGACCGTTGAGGCCATTGAAGCTTATGAAGTACACGAGAACTTATTTCATTTGGACACCGCAGACAGAGCTGCAAGTGGAGTCGAATGAAAGCTCGCCACGTGAAATTTTGGGACCCACCACAACACGAAGTAAAATAATGAAATTAAAGCAGGCGACCCAAATCGTTCGAAACCCAACCCTGCCCAAGACGAGAAAAATTGATTTTTTGTCCATATAGAATCCCGCCAAAAGTCCTTATGTCTCACTTTATGCCACCGCCAGTCTAAAACAAGCGATTCTGTTGAGCTGGTGTGTTTGCTTCCTCCGGAGACGAAGAAATATTAATCATGAAATCATTAAATAATGTCGAGAATCTTAAATCAGAGGTGAGTTTGCTTTAGTTTAGGGTTTATTTTACTATTACATTGCTTTTTTATGTTGGTTCTAGCTGGTTTTTGGTAGTTGTTTTATTTTATACTTAGTGTGCTGGTGTTTATGTTTGTTATTTTAGTTTATGTTTGAGGATTATTATAGTGTCAGAGATGTGTTTTTTTTTGTTTGTTTTATTTATGGTTTTGCGTTGTATTATTGTCGTATTATTGTTGTATTTTATAGGTGTTAGGTGGTGTTATAGTTTAGTTTTTATAGTGTTATAATGGTGTTATTGTTATGGCTTAAGGTGTAGTGTTATCGTTTAAATTTTAGAGATTAATTTGACTTAGTGGTGTTATTGTTGTATTATTTTTGTATTATTTTTGTGTTATTATCGTGTTATTGAAGTTTTATGTGATGTTTATAGTTTTTTCTAGTTTAGGGTGGTGTTATTGTTATGTTTTAGGGTTTAGGGATTATATTATTCTATTAATGTTATCTTTGTAATATTGTTATAATATTCTCGTGTTATTGTCGTGCTATTTAGGTGTTATGTGAAGTTCAGAAAAGTTGACACGAGGATTGGATGTTAGGCCATGTTTAGATGTGTCATCGATGTTGAAGAAAATTAGACTATAAAAAAATTCATTGAAAGTCATAACCACCCTCTTGCCGGAAGTGGTGATAAGCATCTTTTGCGTTCTAGCAGAAAGATAAGTGAGTTAAATGCAGATTTGCTGAGATCAATGACAGGAGCAGGGATCAGAGCAACAGATGCATATAGCTTTATGGCTAAGGAGGTTGGGGGTGGAGAACCTAGAATGCACGAAAAGAGATGCACACAATTTTATTCAAAGAGAAAGAAGGAAAAGAATAGAGCAATGAGATACCAATGCTCTAATGCAGTTGTTCATGGAGAGGCAAGTTGAGGATATCATGTTTGTTTGAGATTTTGAAACTGATGAGTGTGGAAGACTATAAACTTTTTCTGGAGCGACGAATTATCCAGACTTGATTATGATTGTTTTGGGGACGTAATAATTTTTGATACAAACTATCGATTAAATAAGTATAATTTATGCTGCGCTCAGTTCATGGGGGTGAACCACCATTGGCAAAATGTCCTCTTTGGAGTGGGTTTTTTGTCGAGTCGAATGAGACCATAGACCATTGATTTCTTCAGTTGGTTATTCAAAACATTTATCCAAATAATGGGTGACAAGTTTCTAATGACAATTTTCACGGATCAGGATCAAGCGATAGCTTGAGCCATTGAAGATTTTCTTGAGCAGCATTTATTTGATCTTGGCCCTCTTGAGGTTCAGTATCTACAATGGACGACACAATATGAACCCACCAAAAAAAAAAACAAAAAACTATTAAAACTTGCAATTAAGATAGAATAAGCTACTTATGGGAGAAAACTGAGATACTTACCATATAGGAAAGAGAGCCAAGAAGATTCTGAGTAACACTGCAGTGGGGTCTTCTTCTAATGTGTCATCCCGATCAACAAGACCTTCAACTGGCTCTTCGTTGTGAACTGGTAAATTGTCATTAAGTCTGCTCCTTTTTCTTTTCTCATTTTTGGACTTACTTTTTCGGCGACTTGTATGTTCTTTATCAGCTTTGGACTCTTCTAATCTCTTAACCATGGTTATGAGGGTGAACAATGAATCTTCAACATTAGCCATTTGTTTATTCATGACAAATATAGTTCCTGTAAACTTAAACTTATATGTTGTTGAGATTTAAGTAGCTCGAATATTGCTTAAGTTCATTACCTCTCATTGCATGTGTTGCTTCTGGGGTTAACTCACTTGAAACAATTGGACCAACACCATGGGATTTTGGTGATGACAGTCCGACTGGAGTTTCACGACTACCAGTACGAGGAAGAGTTATAACAGGGCTGGGTGGTCTATGTTCAGGATCAGACAACAAGTTGAGCTCATATCCCTTCAAGTCGATGAATGTATCGTTAACCTACATTAAAAACCACAATGTTTTACCTATATTTACTAAATCAACATAGAAACTTACCCAAATAAAATCTTATAGCAAATAAATTTACTTACTTTCACATGATCGAGCATCATAAAAGCTTCATGAATCTATGTTGTTGTCTACCCATGAATTTTTTGCCACCTCAGCATTCGTGGTCTGGCCTCAGGTGCAGCAGGAGTAAAGAGAGTAGTGTGCTTGAAGAACCAAAGCTACTGATAACACATATCAAAAATCATTTTGTCAGAAGGCAAAAAAAAAAAAAAACAAAAACAATTAGATAAAAGAAATAAATTTTTAACAATGGAAAATATGAACTTATAGATAAAATAAATACAAAACCACTTGTGCAACCAAGTGATTGATTTTACTTTATTTTGATTGCAACAAAGTTCATTTGATAAATCATATAATCACAGATAGCAGCAGACCAGTTAAAGAAAGAGAAGGTTTGTACGTTCTCTTCAAATGCATAAAGATCTGCAGGCATGCCAAAATTTCTCGAGGGAAAGAAAAAATTTGTCAGTAAAAACTTATGAAATAGTTTCTCAAAAGGAGTGGAAGACTGATGCACCAAAAATTTATGCATTTTTAGATCCAAATTTTATACTCATTTTTGGTGATTTTGCACTTTAATGGAAGATATTTTTAATGTTTTCTTGCAGGTTATTGAATTTTAGGACTTGGAGAAAAAAAAAAGCAAAAAAAAATAAAATTTAGAGCAAAAATAGAGAAGTTAAAAATTTGTTCAGCGCCGACAGTGCCATTTGACAGAGAAGAGACATTTAATTTATAGACCGCTAGTGTCGGTTCAAATGCCATTCTAGAAGATTCGACGAATTTGGATGCTTTTTAAAGAGTTTTTGGATGCACCTATTGGAGAACTGACTCTAGGCTGTATTTGGGGCCGAAATTGATCAGAAATGCGCTCCTTTTCGCCATTCTCCACCATTCATTCTCTTACTTACCATACACTTTTCCATCCTCATTCCACCATCATTTTGGAGTCTATTAATGATTTTTATTTAAGAATTTAGAGTTTTTATATTGAGATTAAGTGTGAATCTTTCTTTAAGAGTGTTGGAGAAGGAGAAAAGTAAGAGATTTCTTCTTCCTACATTTCCTAAGAAAGGTTACAAGGGATTTGCTTTGAGAAAGGGGATTTGCTTTGAGAAAGAGTTGAGTTTCAGATAAGTGTTGTTTGTTTATTATTATTGTATGAACTTTCTTTTATATATGAAATTTGTATTTTGTTGTATTTTTCTCATCAAGTTTGAGTAATTTCCTTTATCTTTCTCCCTACTCTGAGATATAGTGAAATGAAGAGATAATATGGATGTGTCAATGTTAAAATATAAAACAAATTGTGATGATTTTTTAACTCTGACCTTAATTCACTTTTCAATCTGGCCAATTGAATTGTTAAAATTTGTTGTGAAACATATGATCCGGGAAATGGAGTATGAGTTCTACAACAGAGTGAGAATCACATTTGATTCCAT